TTCAGCACCCTCCTAGCCAAGTCTTGCCCCTCCCCAAGCCCCACCCACACCTTCCAAACCCCATCCACAACAGCTCTCCTCACCCAGCAGGGCCCTTTCCCCCTGGCCTCTCCCGCTCAATAGGACCTGCCCCATGCCCTGACACTCCTCCCGAGTGGGGGAGCTTCCCCCCTGCCCCCCGCTCCGTGAGGACCCCCCCCACACCTTCTGCTTGATCATAGCATGTCGCTGTTCCATGTCCCGCCGCTCCCGCGCCGACTCCAGCACCAGCTGGTGGAGCTGGGGGGTGGAAACTGGATGAGCCCAGACACCTGGGTTCTTTATGGGGTCTAGGGGGACAGGGGGCCGGGGCACCTGGGTTCTTTATGTCTAAGGGGATAGAGTTCCGGACCTAGATTCTTTATGTCTAGGGGGATAGGAAGCCCAGATACCTGGGTTTTTCAGGGAGTCTAGGGGGGGCAGGGAGCCTGGCCACCTGAGTTCGTTATGGGGTCTAGAGGGGCTGGGAGCCCGGATGCCTGCGTTCTCCATGGGGCCCTGCTTGGGAGGAGGGGTAGGGTGGAGGGAGCTAGGAGCCTGGATTCTCCATTGGGTCTAGGGGGGCAGGGTAGAGGGGGCTAGGAGCCTGGATCTGTTATGGGGTCTAGGGGAGCAGGGGGCCTGGATGCCTGGGTTTACGGGGTCTAGGGGGGCAGGGTTGAGGGATCCAGGAGCCCAGACACCTGGGCTCTCCATGGAGTCTAGGTGCCCACCTGTGCGCCCAGCTCGGTACGGTACTTCTCTAGGGCACAGGCGGCCCCATGGCCCTGCTCGAAGTAGGTGGCCTGGGCATCCATCAGTGCCAGCATCTGGGGCGGGGAAAGCGGGGGGTCAGAGCTGGAGAACCCCCCAGCGCTCCCCAGACTGACACCCGTCCCGTCCCACTCCTGTTCCCATTCCCGCCCCGACACTCACAAACTGCAGGATCTCGAACTTCTTCTTGGATTCAATGACGTTGATCTGTGGGGAGCGGGGGGGTCAGGCCCCCAGTCTGCCCCGCCCCAGCCCAGACTAGACAACCCCAACTCCAAGTGGGACCTCCCAGGCCAGACAGGGACCCACACCCCAAGTAAGGACCCCCACCTTCTCCTGGGTCTTCTCCTCCCATCTCCCAGTGGGACCCCCCCCCAGCCAGGTAAGCATCCCCACCCCAGACCCTTCCCTATAAAGACTCCCTTAGGTCTTCTCCCCCAGTCCAAACTGCCCCACAGTCTCCCAACTGCCCGTCCCACCCCCGCCCCCGGCCAGACTGGGCCCCAAAAAATGACTTCTATAGACCCCCATAAGGACCCCCACCCCCATAGTCTTTCCCCTCCTAGACCTCATCTCCCAATTGGGCCCCCCCAATCCAAACTGGACCCCCTGCATCTCCCAGCTGCCCCATACCCAGCCAGATGTACCCACACCTGCCCCGAACGCCCCCATAAGGACCCCCACCCCCATAGTCTTTCCCCTCCTAGACCTCATCTCCCAATTGGGCCCCCCCAATCCAAACTGGACCCCCTGCATCTCCCAGCTGCCCCATACCCAGCCAGATGTACCCACACCTGCCCCGAACGCCCCCATAAGGACCCCCACCCTCCCCTGGCTCCCCCCCATTCCAACAGCCCCCCCAGACCTGCAGGACGTAGTCAAGGGCACGGGCGCGGGCCAGGGTCCGGGCAGTCTGCAGGGCATGGGCGGCCTCCTCCGCCTCGTGTTGCCGTCGCCGTGGCACCTCAGCATTGTGGTGGAGGGCACTGGCCAGGCCCTCGGCGCCGCGCTCAAACTCCTTGCGTGCCTCCTTGAAGCGCTTCATGTCTCTGCCAGGGGGCAGGGGGTCTCAGGGAGGATCTAGTCAGGCCTCCTCATGCCCTGGCTGGGCCTAGTCGTGCCCCCCTCATGCCCCAGTGAGTGTAGCAGCATAGGTTTGGTTGTGCTTCCCTCATAACGCAGTGGGTCTAGTTGTGCCCCCCTCGTGCCCTGGTGGGTCGTCACGCTCCCCTTGTGCCCTGGCTGGATCTAGCCATGCCCTGGTGGGTCTAGTTGTGCCCTCCTTGTAACCCAGTGGGTATAGTTGTGCCCCCCTCATGCCCTGGTGGGCCTAGGTGTGCCCCAATGGGTCTAGTCATGCACCTCTTGTGCCCCGGTGGGTCTAGTCATGCCCCTGGCAGTCCTAGTCACTCCTTCAGATCCCATCCAAGCCACCCCCGCCACCCCAAACATGCCCCTCCAAAAACCACATCTCACCGCCCCTACGGGGGCCTACCCCCACAAAACTCACTCCTTCACCAGGGTCAGGATGTGGTGCCTGAATGAGAGCTGGGTGCTCTCTAGCAGCTCCTAAAATTTGAAGGGGGGCCAAAAATTAGAAGGGAGGGAAATAGGATGCTGGGGTCCACCCCAGAATTGCCCCCCACCACTGGGGAGAGGCTCACTCACTGCGTGGTTGTCAATCATGTGGCCGAAACTGTCCGAGAACTTCTCCAGGCAGGTCTGAAATGGAAAGGCCGGGGGGGGAAATAATAAGGGAGGCACAAAAGGGGGGGTTGTAATATCTACCCCCTGGGGCAAATTGAAGGGCTTTGACAGAGCCAGAGCTACACTATATGGGGTTGGAGACCCCACAGTGTACCCACTTCCACAGACCCTATGCCCCACCCCAGCCCTGCAGCAGGGCACTCACGCTGGTGAGGGGGTCTCCATGGGCATGTGCCCCTAGGTCGCGGAGGCCGGCGGTGAAGGCCTTGCTGGCCTGGCAGTACTGACGCCCTGAATCCAGCATGGCTGAGCTCAGCTTCAGCAGCTTTTTGTGGGGGGAGAAGAAAAAGAAGGGGGAGTGGGAGGTGAGAGGCTGCCCTCAAGCCAGGGACAACCCCGGATGCCTGCGTTACCCTGCTCACCTTCTCCAGCCGCGTCTCCAGTTCTGAGACATCGCTTTCCACCCCCTCGATGGCTGCCCTGGGAGAGGGGAAGAGATCACTTGAAGGAGCGGGGCAAATCAGCTCCCCAAGAGGGGATGAGAAGGTCTCTGGAGAGTTGTGGGGAGTCTCCCACAGGGGGGCTGAGGCAGGGGTCACAAGGGCAGGGAGGAGGTACGGGTCCTCTGGAGGGGTCTTGGGGGGGCGGTTGAGGGGTCACAGGGAGGGAGTGGGGTCCCCTGGGAGCATCAAAGGGTCACAGGGAGGTGGTAGAGGGTGCCCTGCAGGGGTCGGGGGGGGGGTCAAGGGATCACAGGGATGGGGTGAGGATCCCCTAGAGGGGCCCAGGAGGGGTTGTGGGGTCACAGGATGGGGGTTGGAGATCACAGAAGGGGTCTGTGGGAGGTCAAGGGATCACAGAGAAGGGCTGGGAATCCCTTGGAGGGATGGGGGGGGTCAAGGGGTCACAGAAGGGGTCCTGTGGAGGGCAGGGTAGAGCCTATGGGAGGGGTTGGGCCCGCCCACCCGCCACTTCCTCAGGCTTCTGTCCGCCCCTTTGCCACTTCCTGCCCCCCCACTCATCACCAGGCAACTGGTGCCTGCCCCCACCCCCGCCCTGTCACCATGGTGACTACATCATAGGTTGGGGGGAGCTTATTTTGGGAATGAAACTTGCGGGGGGCGTATTGGTGTTAGCAAAGAGGATCATGGGATGGGGACCAGTCAAGGGGCACCCCAGCATGCACAGCGGCCTCCTCCCTCCCAGGGGAGGTGGGGGGCAGGTGCTGTGCAGGAAGGGCTGGAGAAAGAGGAAGTTGGGGCGGGGGAATCGCACAGAGAACAGAGGCACCCAGGACACGTATGCAGATACACACGCGAAAGACATGCACAGAACCCAGGTGTTCAGGACACGTGCAAGTACACACGCACACACGCAACCCAGGCACGAAGGCGTCCTTCGTATGCATACACACAAGGGCACATGCACAGAACCCAGGCATCTGGGACACAACCACATGCACAGATGCACACAGAACCCAGGTGGCCAGGATGGACAGACACCACCCCCTGGTATTGGGAACACCCCCATTCCCAAATGTCTGCAACACATGACGCACACACAGAGGACCCAGGTGTCCAAAACACACACAAACACACATGTGCGCGCGCATACAACCCAGTTGTCCAGGATGGATGCACACACACTCGAAACACACAGACAAAAGAACCTAGGCGTCTGGGACACATAACCTGGCTGTGCAGGTGCGTGCATGTATCCGGGACACGTGCACAAACAGAACCCAGGTATCCACGACACAAACACACACATGTAACCCAGGCTTGCCGGACACACACGTACAGACACGACACTCAAATACCCAAGACGTACACAGATACACACGCACACACATTCCCCAGGTGTCCAGGACACATGCACACCCCTCCCCCACACGCACAGAACCCAGGTGTCAGGGACACACACACATGCTCCTGGCACCCAAAAATCATGCGTGCACCCATACACATGCACGCACGTGTGTGCACACGCACAGAACCCAACTGTCTGGAATGCGCATGCACATACATACTCGCTTGAGTTCTGCATGCATGCCTATCCCAAAAACCTGAATAACGCTTGCGTGTGTGTGCATGTATACGTGCATGCATGTCTCCTGGACTCCTGGGTATTGCCTGGACGTGCACACATGCATGTGTCCTGGGTCCACGTGCATGTCCAGGATGCCTGGGTCCCTCCTGTGTGCGTGTGAGTGTGCCCCAGGGGCCTAGCTTCCACATGCCTGTGACCCCCCCAGACACCTGGGTCCTAGATGCATGGCATGTATGTGTGGTATGCACGAGCATCCGAGATGCTTCCATTCATACTACCATGTGCCAAGCACACGCACCCCCTGCAAGGCGTGTGGAGCTGGATGCACCTGACTTACCCAAGTGTGTGTGACACGCGCATGTGACATGCTGTGTCCCTGCTGGCTGAAGGGGAACCCCCACACCCAGGTCACCCAAGCCACGTGTGCACACATGTGCGAGTGCCGCCACCCCCTCTCCCTTGCCCACCTGCCCCAGGAGGGGGCATGAGTGTGCAACCTGCCCCTGGCAGGTGGGTGGGGGAAGGGAGAGGTGCAAACAACTCCCCCCACCTAGGCCTCAGCTTCCGGCCCTGGGCGCCTTTCGCCACCCGCTTCCTGCCCCGCCCCCCGCCCGTGTGCTCACCAGCGCGTGCGATACATGCACTGAGACAGGAAGTGGCTTCCCTCGCCCAGAGCTGGGCGGTGGAGGGGGGGGGAAAACAAGTATGGGGGGAATGAGTGTGAGTGCACAAGGAGAAAGATGGGGGGGGGGTGACCGTGCAAGGGGGGAGCCTTGCACTGCTAAGGTCCCCGTGCGAGGGAGTGGGGGGGGTGGATGGGGATCATGCGAGGGAATGGGAGAGAGGCTGGAACATGCGAGACAGGGGAGGCGGGAGTGAGGGAAGTGTGCAAGACCCAGGGGCGGTGGGGCTATCTTGTGAAGCTAGCGCACTGCATGGATGTGCCAGGCCTCAATCCTGCTGGAGGTGGGGGGGCTGCTGCTGCTGTCCATCCCCCTCCCAGCCCTATCTGCCCCCTCCCCCCAGGGTTCCTGGGGGGAGGGAGCAGATAGGAACCTCCCCCTCAGGACACCCCTTAGACACAAGGGGGGACAGATTTGAGCCCCCAGGTAGATCTGAGCCCCCCCATAGATGCCTTCCCCTCCACCTCCCAGCGGACATAAACCAGGGATAGGTTTGAGCCCCCACCACACCTCCATCCTCCAAGGGACTCCCTCAATACAAGGGGGGCAGATTTGAGCTCTCCAGGAGAACCCAGGATACAAAGGGGGGCAAATCTGAGACTCCCACATAAACCTCCACCCCCAAAAGAGACCGCCTTGACACAAGGGGTGGGGGGGAGAGTTGAGCCTCCTTCATGTACCACCACACCCCAGGAGAGCCCCCTAGACATATGGGGGGGCAGATCTGACCTCCCCAGGGGTGCCCAGGACACAAGAGGGAGCAGATCTGAGCCACCCCCATGTACCCCCACCCCCAGTGGCCCCCCGGATCGGGGTGGAGGGCCCCAGGGGGCACCCACCGGAAGCGGGGCGAGTCCTTCAGGCACTCCTCGAAGTCCAGCGTCACCGTCATCCTGCCCCAGGGCCCGGTCGGGGTGGGAGGATGCGGGGATGCAGGCACTGCCAGGAGCTGCCGGTCCCTGCCTGGCCCCGAGAGGGATGGGGCGGAGCCCCAAGGTGGGGCGGGGCTTGTTAACCAAGGGGCGGAGCCTAAAGGGACGAAGGGCGGGGCTTGGGATGGGACCCGATCCAGGAACAAAAGAAGATTGGAAGGAAGGAGCGAGCGGTATCCTGGGCTGACCCGGGTTAAGGGAGCCTGAGGGGAGGGGGAATAATTCAGTCCACTCCTCCCCCCCAGCAGTGGGCGTATTGGTTCAGTCCAATTCTCCCCCCCACACACACCATGAGCACATTTGCCCAGTCCAGTTACCCCTCCCCCGTCATGGGCACATTGGTTCAGTCCACATCCCTCCATTACTGGAATAAATTGTTCAGGCCGCGCCCCCCGGTCACTGGATGCATTAGTTCAACCCAATTCTCCCCGCCCCCCCGGATGGACTCATTGGTTCAGTCCAATTCCCCCCCCCCGCCATCGTGGACGCATTGGCTCAGTCCACATCCCGCTTGAGTCCCTGGGGCCCGTTAATCTACTACAAGCCCCCCCCGGTCACGGCGGGGGTTGGTTCAGTCTACACCGTCCCCGACGAAGAGGCACTGGGGCCACGCTGCCGTAAAGCGAGACCGCTGTAAAAGACGAGCACTGCCGCCCTGTTGTAAAGTGCACCAGGAAACGTCGCAAAATGCTCCCAGAGCCCGGGGCGATTGCCGTAAAGCCGCCGTTGTCTGTCACGGGAGGGAAAGGCAACGGGGGCTTCACACCAATCACCCGAGGCTCTGGGGGCATTTTGCGACGTCTCCCTGTGAATCCAGGGAAGGGGTGGGTTGACGTACCTGTGCGGGGAGCACCTCGGCCGTAAAGTACCGCATTGCCATCAGTGTCGGGGCCTCGTTGCTGTGTGCTGCCGTAAAGCACCGTGCTTCTCCGCGCCCTGCTGTAAAATGTGTCCCTGTCAGTGACTGTCCCCAGCTGACGGTCACTGCCGTAAACCGCACCTGTGGCGGGGAGGAGATGGGCTCCGAGATGTCGTAAAGCGCGCCCGTCGCTGTCCGGATGTTTCCCCGTGCTGCTTTACGGCTCTCTCCCGGGGCTGCCGTTAAGCACTCCTATATGTCGGCGGTGCCGCAAAGCGCTGCCGTCGCCGACGGGGCATCTCCCACCGCAGCTGCTGTAAAACAGTACCTCTCCCCTCGCTGCCGTAAAGCACTCCCGGGGCGGCCTCTCCGCCGTTAATTACCGTAAAGCATAGCCGCCTCCCCCAGTGCCGTAAAATACTTGAGTCGCCGGCCGCGCTCCTGTCAAACTTTCCGTCGTCTCCCCTCCACGCCGTAAAACACACCAGCTGTTCCCCAGTGTCGTTAAGCACCCCAAACCTCCTCTATTTTACGGCTGTCAAACCCTTCAGCGTCTCCCCTCCC